TCTGGACATTTCATATAAAATGTTCATCCAATATGTGTTTTTTTGTGACTGGCTTCTTGCATTTAGCATCGTGTTTTTGAGGTTCATCCATGTATCAGGACTTAATTCCTTTTTATTGCTGAATAATGTTGCATTGAATAGATATACCACATTTTGTTTATTCATTAATCAGTTGATGAATTTGAGGTTGTTTCCACTTTTTGGCTATTCTGAATACTGCTGCTGTGAACCTTTGCCTATGTTTTTGTGTGGATGTATATTTTCATTCCTCTTAAATATATACCTAGGAGTGGAGTTATTGATCACATGGTAACTCTCTGTTTAACTTTTTTTTTTTTTTTTTTTTTGTGAGGAAGATCAGTCCTGAGCTAATATCCGTGCTAATCCTCCTCTTTTTGCTGAGGAAGACCGGCTCTGAGCTAACATCTATTGCCACTCCTCCTCCGTTTTTTTTTTTCCCCCAAAGCCCCAGTAGATAGTTGTACGTCATAGTTGCACGTCCTTCTAGTTGCTGTATGTGGGACGTGGCCTCAGCGTGGCCGGGCAAGCGGTGCATCGGTGCACGCCTGGGATCCGAACCCAGGCCACCAGTAGCGGAGCACACGCACTTAACCACTAAGCCACGCGGCTGGCCCCGTCTGTTTAACTTTTTGAGAAACTGCTAAACTGTTTTCCAAAGCACTCATACCATTTTACATTGCCACCCACAATATCTAAGGGTTCCATTTTCTCCACATCCTCACCAACTTTTGTGATTGTCTTTTTGATTATAGCCATTCTAGTGGTAACTCACTTTGGTTTTCATTTCCCTTAGGAATAATGACGTTGAGCATCTTTTCATGTGCTTATTAGCCATTCACATATCTTCTTTGGAGAAATGTCTATTCAAATTCTTTGCCCATTTTTTAATTGGGCTTTTTATCTTATTATTGAGTTGTAAGAGTGATTTTACATATTCTGGATACAAGTCCTTATCAGATAACATGATTTGCAATTTTTTTTTCTTTTTGTTTATTGCTGTATCCCCAGCACCAAGAACTGTTCCTGGCACATAGAAAATGTTCAGTGACCTTTTTTTAAAAATTTATTTTATCGAGGTCATAATAGTTTATAACTGTGAAATTTCAGTTGTACATTATTGTCAGTCACCATATGTATGTGCCCATTTACCCCTTATACCCAACCTCCAGCCCCCTTCCCTTGCAATTTTGTTTTTCAAGTCTGTGGATTGTCTTTTCACTTTCTTGATAGTGTCCTTAGAAGTATGCATATTTTAAATTTTGATGAAGTCCAACTTACCAATCTTCCTTTGCTTATGCCCTTGGTGGCTTATTTGAGAAATCATTGAGTAATCCAAAATCGTTAAGGATTTATTCCTGTGTTTTCTTCTAAGAGTTTTATAGTTTTAGCTCTTGCATTTAGGTCTATGATTCACTTTGAGTTAAATCTTTGTGGTGTGAGATAGGAGTCCAAATTTATTTTTTTGCATGTCATCCCAGCCCCATTTGAATCTCACCAAACTTGAATCAGAAATTTTCTTTCATCACCTAGTGTGTTTATTTTTTGTTTCATATAATTAGTAAGTGTATAGGTACGTAATTAAGAGAATTTTCACTGGACTACATTGCCTCATTAGAAAGATGGGGTTATATTTCATGTATTTTGTTAGTAGTCATGGTTTTAAAAATAGTGGAGTCTAATTCTGGTCAAAAGTCTTCCCAAATTATGTGGTGTTGATGTTTTTGTTCACTATCATATTTCCAGATCTCAGTCATGCTGGTGTGTTCAAAAAAGAGAATAGCCATTGCATTAAGGAATGAGGGCTTTGTAACCAGAAGAACATATGGTATAATTTAAGTGAGAAGTAGCATTAGACCCTTTTCTTTGTTTCATTAACATAATTCCTATTGAATTCAGTCAAATCTGTGGTTCAGTAATACCTGAGATTTAGCTTTAGCTGACTCCGATAAAAGCAACTTGTGGTTTACTTAAAAAAATGTGTTAAAAAAAGAAAGGTGGAAGGAGAGAGGGAGAAAAATGAATCTAAGCCTTCTTAAGTAATAGAACAAAATCCCTAAAGTCCATGATGGGAATGGATTGATAGTAAGGCATTTAATAGTCTATGGGTTCATGTAGATTTAACTCTGCCTTAACAGACAAACTACAACAGTAACAAAAATAATAAACAGTAAACCCTAATTTAAAATATCCTGTAGATAGCGTGCATTATTAATTGAGAACATTTTGGGGGAAAAAGTTATCAGATATTTAAGTTTATTTTAAATTATACCAGAAGTAGAAATGGTGGTTTTCTTAGAAAATGTAATATACTGTATCAGTAATCTATTGCTGCATAACAGACCACTCCAAAACTGAGTGTCTTAAAATAGCAACAGTCATTTATTTTGCTCACAAATCTGCAGATTGGGTAGGCGTTATGATTTGTTTCTGTTTCATGCAGCGTCACCTATGGTGGCTTGATTGGGAGCCCAGAGGATCTACTTTCAAGATGGCTCACTCACATTCCTGGGAAGTTGGGCCGGGCGCCTAGGTTCTTCTCCATTTGGTCCCCTTCATGGCTATTTGGGCTTTCTCACAGTGTGGTGGTTGGGTTTCAAGAAAACAAGGTAGAAGTGTGTGGTATTTCCATGACCTAGTCTCAGAAGTCACATGTAGTCACTTCTGCTATACTTATTGGTAGAGGCAGTCACAAAGGCCCGCCTAGGTTCAAGGGTAGGGGACGTGAACTGTACCTCTTATTGGGGCCATTTTTGGAAAATTCAATCTACTACATATATATAATATTTCTTTCTAAGAAATCCTTTGGAAAAATCAATTTTGTTTATTTATTTTTTTATTTTTTGTGAGGAAGATTAGCCCTGAGCTAACATCCGTTGCCAATCCTCCTCTTTTTGCTGAGGAAGGTTGGCCCTAGGCTAACATCCGTGCCCATCTTCCTCTACTTTATGTGGGATGCTGCCACAGCATGGCTTGACAATTGGTGCATTGGTGCGCGCCTGGGATCCCAACCTGCGCACCCCGGGCCGCTGCAGCGGAGTACACGCTTTACCACTGTGCCACTGGGCTGGCCCCTGGAAAAATCAATTTTTAATGTTTAGAAATTAATAAAGGAAAGCTAAAAGTAAATTAAAATACATCTGAGCAAGAAACTTTCTTTTTAATATCTGTTTTATTCTGAATAATTTATTTTCAGCTGTTTCTATTAAGAATTATTGACTTTGGATATTCTAAATATGTAGTTAATTCAGTCGTGCAAGTAAATGGGAAAATTCCAACATGCATTATGTAGATATCAGAATGCAGTTACTCTCAGGGATATGCAAAGGATATGCACTGTGTCAGAGGTTCCCAAGAGTACCCCTGGGTTTGATGATTAGCTTAGAGGATTCGAATCACAGGATACAGTGTATAGTCCTACCCGTAGCTATGCTTTGTCACAGCAAAAGGATCCAAAGCAGATTCAGCAAAGGGAAAAGGCACGTGGGGCAAAATCCAGAGGAGACTAGGCACAAGCTACCAAGAGTCCTCTCCCAGTGGACTCATACAGGATATGCTTAATTCCTCCAGCAACCAATTGTGGCAACATGTGTGAAATGTTGTTTACTGGGGAAACTCATTAGAGACTCAACACCCAAGGTTTTTACTGGAGGCTTGTAATGTAGGCACCCTCTACCTAACACTTACCGAAATTCCAGACTTCTAGAAGGAAAGTGGGTGTTCAGTATAAACCATATTGTTTGCTTTAACAGTTTAGGCACAGTGAGCCACGCTTAAAGTTAGGGTAGTGGGAACTCGCCTGAAATACAGTTTCCCAGACACCAGCCAAAGGCCAGCTTTGTAGGCATGCTTTTCTAAGGATAGCTATTTCATGCCTGGTATGTAAATTCTTTTCTGCAAATGTACTTTAAAAAAATTATCCCTAAATCTTCAAATTGCTCTTGGTTGACTCTTTAACATGTAGATTTCTGAGTAACCTCAGTAGTTAAAGAAAAAGTTATAGATAAATGAGATATAATTTGGCCCTTGTATTTAAAACCAAGACCAAATATTGGGATCTATTAAGACTTGAAAACTTCCTGATAGTATAGAGTTAAAACTGTAGACAGTTTTATTTAAAGTTAAATGTATTGTCTGCATAACACTAGTAGATTATGGTTATGGGAAGGAATATGTGTTGGTAACTTTTCACCACAGTCTTCCTCAAGTGTATCCTTGGAGAGGCAAGGCAAAATAACATATTAAGAGCATGAGTTCTGGAAGTAGACTACCCCTGTATTGGAACCCTGGCTCCCTACCCTCTGTCTGTCTCAATTTTCTCATCTATCCAGTGGGGATAATAATAGTACCTAACTGATAGTGTTGTTGGTGGAATAAATGAATTAACATATATAAAATACCTGCTAGGTAGTAGGTGTTAGCCCCTATATCATCATTCCGTGGATACAGTGATTATGTTTACTGAAACAAAATCAGACTATTTAGAAAAGTATTAGTATAGTTCTGGAGCCAGTAGCCAAAATATGGGAAATTGTGTCTAGCCTGAGTTTTTAAGAGTATATGACTGTCATACTGTTAAAGTGCACTAAGAGTTTGGGGGTTGTGAGGAGTTGGCATAATTTACTATAGACTCAAACCCAGAAATATTCAAGATCTTCCATCCTAAATTAGATGTCTGCTTCTAATTGTTGGTACCAACGTGACTGCACAGTTCAGTAGGATATTTCTACAATGAACTTCATTAAATGCCTTCGTAGAAGATTAATTGCCATGCTGTTAGTGTTGGTTGTCTTGTAGCCAGTGATGGAATTACATTGGCTAGGAATGTATAAATGGAATTAACATCTTAGTGGAAACAGAGAAATAGTTTTCTAACATTGTTACTTACCTAGTAAAATAAGCTTTCTTAGTAGGGAAGAAAGCACACAAGGAGTTACTGAAATGAAAGAATGAAGTTAATATTTTTAACATTTCTCCTTAAGGACCAGTGTAATGCGGAGAAGCACGCAGATGGAATTATAGTAAGTTTAATCTAATCTTTTTGTTTCCCTTTACTTCTGCAGAGCATTATAACCAGTCATGTCAGGAGAAGCCTGAATTTCTACTCATTTTTCAACGCAAATTCCTCTTTTCACCTACTCACTGCTTTTTGTTGTTGACTCTTGCAATTTTCCTTGAGCTTCTAAAGTTGGCCATCTTTCAGCAATCATTTGGAGGGGAAATGTCAATCTTAAATTTTTCTAAGTGTTGGTTCAGATTGAATCACTTTGCATGTGTTAACTTGAAGGGTTAATCATGATATAAAAATGCAGCTTTTATGGCTAAATAAGGTGTAACTTAGAATGCTACATGTCTTGTCAAACTTCTTTTTTTCTCAGATGAAAGCAGATGGGGAGGGATACAATACTGAAACATATCTTAATCTATTTAAATATGTTTGTAGGTTTCTATTATTTTCTTATCTTTTACTTTTAGATTTTGTGTATTAACTATCATTGCTACTGTGGTGTATTGTGCATTTTTGTTGGAACAAGTTGCAACATGAATTCTTTCACTTACAGCCATTTTCTTATTCTTTCCTCCTCCTTGGCTTTTTACTAATTCCCTTATATTCAACTTCTCCTCTAAAAGAAAAGAAAATTGTATTGTTAGTATTTCCTAGCTGGAAATAAAAGTTAGAGTTTGAAGTTTTGTATTTTGAGCTACCCTAGTTTGATGGTAACCGAGTGACTTCTGTTGAGACTGTATTTGTGAAGTAGGAGGCAGCCTCTTCCTTTTGTCTTCAGACTTTGCAAATGCCAGCTTGTCTGAGATCTGGAAACCCATTTGTAAATCTTCAAAACCATCTCATGATTATACTTGAAAGGATGAGCATGTTATCTTTATATTTGGTTTAAAATTTAAAAAAAGTTAAGTATCTATGTTGTTTGCATATTTCTTAAGAAAACAGAGATAAGAGAAACGTTTTTGAAATTTGAGTTAAACACATTGGAATTTTTATTTCTCTTCTCACAGTGTGAGTTCAAAGTTTGAGCCATGGTGATGTAATACTATTATGTGATATAAATACAGTATAATGTAATATGTCTCTTCCTGAGATATCAATTAAGATTGTAAGCCTCATGGAAAAAGACTGAAGATGTTGTCTAGCATCTCATGGTCCCCCAGAAACCCTAAGGAAAATCATATTGGCAGTTATTTTTATCTCTTTCCCTCAAGGCAAAATTAGTTACTTTTTATTATGTTAAAAAATGGGCGGAGTTTTATAAAGCATACCAAAAATGTTCGATCGTTTGCAATTAAAAAACATCTAGAGGGCCGGCCCCGTGGGTTAGCCGTTAGGTGCGCGCACTCCGCTGCTGGCGGCCCGGGTTCGGATCCCAGGCACGCACCGACGCACCGCTTGTCCAGCCATGCTGAGGCCATGTCCCACATACAGCAACTAGAAGGATGTGCAGCTATGACATACAACTATCTACTGGGGCTTTGGGGGAAAAAAATAAAAATAAATAAAATTTAAAAAAAATCTAGAAAGTGTATACTCATAGAAAATCTAAACTTGTAGAAAACAAACATTTGAATCATTTGATCAGAGACTATAGCATTTTTCCTTAAGAGTTTTTATTTTGAAAAAAGAAAGGAAGTATTTATGGTTTAAGCCTTAGACTGCTAGGACCCAGCCTTGCCATTCGCTAGCTGTGACCCTAGGCAAGTTACTTAACCTCTGAGTCTTACTTAACCTCTGAACCCTCATAGTACTTCATAAATGGTAGCTATACATATATATGAATTTTATTAATGTCACAAAAGTCTAAAAGCATTTTCTTTGGTTGACAAGCCTAATAGAACACTTCATCTGGAAAACAAAAGGTTAAATTCAGTAATTTTTTTCTTATATCATAGGTGGGGATAAGGAGGGACTATATTCTCATTCCTATGGATCAAAGTGTTAATGGCAGGATTTTGCCCTTATAAAAAGCACTTGGAGTCCTTTGGAGAAAACCACTATGTAAAAATAAGGAATTTATTTTAAGAATAGCTCCAGGAATTGTTGAGACACTTAGTTATTATGGCCTGGTCTGGTATCTGAAAATAGAATCATAAAGTAATAACCAGAAAGCCCTTCCAGACCGTATAATCCAGATATTTCTTCATTTTACAGACTGGGAGGCCCACAGCAGATTGGAGACTTGCCAAGTCCTTGGTAGAGCAAAGATTCTAAGGAATTAAAATTCCAAGCTTCTGCTTCTGTGCTTTTCCCAATCCTTTAAAACCTTTCCCACTTCACTTTACTAGGTTTTGGATTATTAATGATTGTTTTCAGGGTTTCTTCTCCAAGTGTTCTTTATTTTCCAATCAGAATATTTATGATAGGAGGACTGTTGTAGTGACAAGAATCAGAATTCTTGTGTTCAAATACCTTGATTTAAGAAATCTGATTTAATTTTAAAATATTTATGCAGAGAGTTTAATTTAGACTTAGAATGCTACAAAAACTTTACCATTATCTCAGATTCCATTGTTAGGCACTTGTAAATTTTTGTCAATACTTTTTGGGTTCATTCATCAGCAAAGTATTTCTCTTCTAATTCTGTTTCAGTACTTGTTATAAGCTCTACCTAATATATATTTGAAGTTTAGTTTTCCAGATCAAAGAAAGCTAAAGAACTTTTTATTTCTTGGGTTTTGTCTATTGTAGTCTTGTAAACAGTGATTTAGACTTTATTCTGCCAGAGACCTTGGTTTAAAATCCCCTCTCCTCCAAACAAAAATGCCTCATGGAGTCTTGTTTTGAATATGCCGTCATGCTGGCAGAGTAGTTTCTTGGCTTGAAATCACAGAAATCTAGCCTTTTTTTTCCTCTAAGATTGTAACTACATGTTTGAGTATTTTTTTCCGTCTAAATCCTCAAAAAAAAAAGCCTTCTTCTCTACACCCCCTGAATAGAAGATACATCTCTTTGTCTTTAGTGACCCTAAAACTAGATTTGCCCATACTGTGCGATACACAATATGGGAGGTGGCCGTAGTGTAGGATGGAAAGATAAGATCCTAATGGTGCAGGTACATTAGCTAATTGTGGGTGTAATGTTTATTGACACCAAAGCAAGAGAGAGCATTTCTCTGTCTTTGACAGAGAAACAGTATTTCTGGTGAATTAAGAATTTGAGAAGCACTGACTTGAATTGAGAGGTTATTTTTTTAGCTTCCTGAAATCTTCCTATACCATTTTACAACTGTTTTCCAAGTTTTTCCATTTAGCTTTACCTTTCTATATGACAGGGATTCATTCATTTTCCCTCCTTACTATACTGTTTTTAAAAAATAAGAAACTCTTAGACTGTTGTATAGAAAAGGTGTTTTATTTCCTCTTTGTATTTTGACCAGTGTATCTATATAGCTACCCTCAGGACTTTGCTGTCAGATATCTGGGCTTTTCATACATTTGGGAGGGTCAGCACTGGAAGGGCATTTAATTAAAAATAACTATACTGTGTTGTTGTTTTTTTTTTTTTTAATCTCAGAGTACTATTAATCCTGTAGATGCAATATATCAACCTAGTCCCTTGGAACCTGTGATCAACACAATGCCTTCCCAGACTGCCTTACCTCCAGGTATAGTATTTGGAAAAATGTTTCACAGATTCATTGATAAGGAAAAACTTAATTTGTATGACTGTTGTAGTAATATTGAAGGGCTCTTTCTTTTTTTTAGTAAGTAAAAGGAATCACAAAAAAAATAATAGAGCTAAAAATGAACTGGGAAAAGATGATAGTATTTCTGGTATTGGGACTTTCTAAGAACAAGGAAAGGGCTTTTGGTTTTCAAAGTGAGATGGAGGATAATACATGTACTAAGGCTTCGAATAGCTGGTGGGACAGAATCCTATGACCCAGGATTCATGACTACCAAGGAAAACTTAATATACCTTGATCTGCCTGAAGGTAATCCAGGAATGTTCTATTTTGGGGTATATGTTAATAGCTCTGAAGAGTACAAATGGTTTCTTCATGGTGGACTTGAAGATAATGAGAAAGAGAAGAATGAAATTTGTGATGCCTACTGATTAGATAGACGTGTATTTTTAAGTATAGAGTAACAAACAGTTTTTAAAATCTGGCAAAGAAGGGTTTAGGACCAACACCCAGATACACTGATTCCTTTTACTTTTTTGTTGCATGTTCTCAGTGATGACTTAGTTCAGTGTGAAATTGTACTGGAAAAAAGAAAATCCTTTTCTAAAATACTTACAAGTATGTTAAATCCTTTTGTGAATTTTTACTGCTTAAGAGAATGAGCTTAATATCTCTTATGGGGCTAAAGAGGAAGATACTGTGCCCATTTCAGATTTTATGTAGTTTGATGCTTGGAAACACTTTATCACAAGAAGCGTTTGCTGTTTTTACAGGGCAGTTGTACTAAGGTATTGGCCTTCCATGACTGGTTTCTTGATATCCTGCCTAGTGTCTTAGTACTCGGTAGCATATCATTGAGTTGAACAAGGATAGGAGGTCAAAAAGAAGAAGTAGCATGGAACTTGACTTAATGGAGTATAGTTTGAAAAATTACTGATCTTGAGGATTTTGAATCCCAGACAACTGCAGTTAATAGAGTTGTGTTTGGACTGTTTCTTTAACTTATTTCATATGTTCACATCTCCTAGAACCTGCTCAGTTGTGTAAGTCAGAGCAGCGTCCATCTTCTCTACCAGTTGGACCTGTATTAGCTACCTTGGGACATCATCAGACTCCAACACCAAATAGTACAGGTACAGATTTGTGTATCTTCTTTACTTCTCATAACTTCCATTTACATTTAAGATTTGTGTTTGATGACTGATGAGAAAAAGGTTGAAGAAATGTCTTGTATGTTCTGTTGGTGATATCATAGTTTTAGCATTACAGTTCCATACGTGAAGTGGTTAACTTTGTGACTGAACCAGAAGCTTTAGTGATAATTAAAATTTAAATAAATAAAATATTGGAGGATTTTATTCGTTTGTCCTAAGATTTATTTTGAAGATCTATATTAACTTTTTTTAAAAATTTGCTCATGTTAGACTTGTATACCTTCTTATTGAAAAAGGATCAGACAGTGCAAAGTCATAGAGAACAAAAGCTGAAAGTCCTCTTTACTCTTCCCTCTGTTGTTTGCATACATGTATGTACATATATACCTATATCGTGTTTTTTTTTTTTTTAAGATTTTTTATTTATTTTTTTATTTTTTTCCCCTCAAAGCCCCAGTAGATAGTTGTATGTCATAGCTGCACATCCTTCTAGTTGCTGTATGTGGGACGTGGCCTCAGCATGGCCGGAGAA